TTATAATAAAAATAAATTATTAAAATGTTATGTAATTAATATATATAATTTTTGTATAAGTAAATCTTAATTTATATTTAAATATTTTTATTAAATATTATAATAAGTGTATCGTTGGTCGCAAATACCATATTCATGTTACATGCAAAATGTTGTACGTATGCTGGTAACTGGTTATTAACAACTGAGTGGAGCAGCTCTGCTTTATAGGATAGCACGTCAAATTATTGGTTTATACTATTTAACGACAGCAGTTGGACTACTTGCACTAGAGGTCAATTTACATTGATGACAGCTTTTAACATGGACAACAGCTGGTGATTGATGATAGCTTTGAAAATAGATGACATCTAAAGATGGCAATGAGTCGATGCGAAAGTGGGTACACCTCTTATCCTTATTTTCATTTTCAGCTCTATTACCTATTAATAATAGAAATGTGAATTTTTATGAAAATTTTAATGGATCAAAAATATTTTTTGTTTTATAACATGAAGAATGAGAATTTTCATGTGAATATTTTTTTTTATTGAAATTTTTTATCTTATATTTTATTGATAATTGATCCATACCAAAGTGGTACACCTCCCATTTTCATTTTCATTTCTAACCCCATCACATGCTAATAATAGAAATGAAGATTTTTATGGAAACTTTTGACAGGTACACAACACTTCTCATCCTATTTTCATTTCCAGCCTCATCATCTATTAATGACAAAAACGAAGATTTTTATGAAAATTTTTTACGGGATACACAACACTTCTTATCCTCATTTTCATTTTCAGTCCTATCATAGATGATAGGAATAAGGATTTTTGTAAAAAATTTTGACGAGATCAAAAATACTCTTTTTTTCATATCATGAAAAACAATAGGTCCCATAGGTATATGATTTTTTTATTAAAATTTTTTATTTTATATTTTTAATAATTTGTTTTTTATCTCATATTTTATTGGTAACGGATCCATACAAAACTAGGTGCACCTCCCATCCTCATTTCCATTTCTAGCCCCATCACCGGCTAATGATAGGAATGAGAATTTTTATGAAAATTTTTGACAAAATCAAAAATACCCTGTCTCATAGCGTGAAAAATGAGTTTCCATATGAATATTATTTTTTTATTGAGATTTTTTATCTTATATTTTATTAGTAATAGGTTCATATGAAAGTGAGTACACCTCCCATCCCCATTTTCATTTCCAGCCCCATCACCTGTTGATGATAGAAATGAAGATTTTTATGGAAAATTTTGTTCGAGGTACAGAATACTTCCCATCCCCATTTCCATTTCCAGTCCCATCCCTTATTGATGATAGGAATGAGGATTTTTATGAAAATTTTTGACAAGGTACACCACTTCTTATCCTCATTTCCATTTTCAGCCCCATCACCTGTTAATGATAAGAATGAGGATTTTTGTGGAAATTTTTTACGGAATCAAAAATACTCTTTGTCTGATAGCGTGGAGAATGAGTTTCCATATGAATATGATTTTTTTATTGAGATTTTTTATCTTATATTTTATTAGTAATGGATCCATACGAAAGTGGGTACACCTTCTATCCCCATTTTCATTTCCAGCCCCATCACCTCTTAATGATAGGAATGAGGATTTTTAGGGAAATTTTTGTCGAGGTACAGAACACTTCCCATCCTCATTTTCATTTCCAATCCCATCACCTATTGATGATAGGAATGAGGATTTTTGTGAAAAATTTTGACGAGATCAAAAATATTATGTCTCATATCGTAAAGAACGATAGGTTCATAGGTATATGATTTTTTTATTGGGATTTTTTATTTTATATTTTTAATAATTTGTTTTTTATCTTATATTTTATTAGTAACGAGTCCATACGAAACTAGGTGCACCTCCCATCCCCATTTTCATTTCCAACCCCATCGCCTGTTAATGATAGAAATGAGGATTTTTATGAAAATTTTTGACAAAATCAAAAATACTTTTTGTCTCATAGTGTGAAGAATGAGTTTCCATATAAATATGATTTTTTTATTGGGATATTTTATTTTATATTTTATTGATAATGGGTTTATACGAGAGTGAGTACACCTCCCATTCTCATTTTCATTTCTAGCTCCATACGTGTTAATGACAGAAATAAGGATTTTTATGAAAATTTTTATCATGATGCACAACATTTCCCATCCCCATTTTCATTTACAGTCTCATCACTTGTTGATGATAATTTATTTATTTTATATTTTACAAATAATAATTTTTAAAAAATTAAAATAATTTATAATAAAAATAAATTATTAAAATATTATAT